AACACTCACTCGCACAATCGCTCACTCACTCACTCACTCAATCACGCATGCACACATGCACAGCCGCCGGCACCACCACCGCTGCGGCCACCCCGCCTCTCTCCTCCTATTCCAACCTGCCTCTCCCCGCCGCGCACACACACTCTCACACCCCCGCGTGGAACACGCACCACCACCACCACCACCACCACCACCCACCCACCCACCCGACGCCTCCATCTTGGCATCCAGCCGGTCCAGCAGGGCGGGCATGTCGAGGCGGTGCGCCAGCCGCGCCGCCGCGGACAGCGTCTTGGCGGCGCCGGGCAGCTCAAAGTCGATGGCGTCCACCTGGGGGGGGCAGGCGGGGGGGGGGCAAGCAAGGGTGGGTGCAAGGGCGGTTGTGGGCCGACGCGGGAGCACGCAGGGAAGGAGGGAAGGAAGGAAGAGACCCAAACCGATGGGAGTGGCAGCCAGCCAGCTGGGTGCGCAGGCGCAGATAGGGCCCCTGGCTGGGGGCCGGCAGCAGCGGTGGAGGAGCAAGGTGGGCAAGCGGCTCCCCGCCCAAGCCCACGGCAGCGCCCACCCCGGCGCCCTCTAGGGCCACCCACCCACCTCCTCGTGCCGGTAGGCGAAGCGCAAGAAGTGCACGACGCGCTGCGGGCGGCGGCCAGCACAGGCAGGGCCGGGTGAGGCGGGGCATGGGCATGGGGGTGATGCCGGAGCACACCGGCGGTGCAACCGAGCGGGGGTGCTGGGGCAGGGCATGCACAGCGTGCGAGGTAGCGGGCGGCTGTGCTCGCGGGTGGCGGTCGATGGGGGCTGCCCCTCGAGCGGCGCCTGCCCCTGCCCCTGGCCCTCACCTTGAGCGTGAACCCCTCCAGCGACTGCTCCTCCCGCGCCAGCGCCAGAGCATCGCTCATCACCACCTGACGCAGCGGCGGCGGTGAGGTGAGCATGCGCGCTATGCATGGCGACGGACAAGTTTGCCGCAGCTGCGACGGCCGGGCCGCGAAGCTGCAGCTGCTACACTCTGCACGGTTGCAGGCGGCCGGAGGGGCACACAGCGCTCACCTCCAGATTGGTGTATGGGTCGAGCAGGTGGCCGTTGGCGGCGGCGGCCAGCGGCGCGGGACGGCCGTCCTCCTGCCGCGCGCTGGCCACCGCCCTGAGGACCGAGCTCTGCTCCGCCAGCACGCCCTCCAGGTGCACCGGCAGCCGCCTGCCCTCGCAGATGAAGACGGCATCCTCGTCTGACTGGCCGGCGGGCACGTAGAACTCTACAGCCAGCTCATCGGAGTACTCGGAGAAGGGCGGCAGCTCTGTCTGCGTCATGATGGCTCACAGAGTAGGAAAAACAGCAGCATGCAAGCGCAAAATGGGACGCCGCCTTCCTCAACTCCGGCCTTGTCCGAAGCGCAGAAACACGGTTGGAGCGAATTGATCTGTGCTCCAGTCGACCAATTGTGAGCAACGCTCAACGGTTTGGCGGTGGTAATGCTGGCTGGGCGTGCCGGCGACTGCGGCGGCGGCTGGGCTGGCTGTGCGCCACCAGCCGCCGTCGCAGCGGCGGCAGTCGGCGTTACTGCCATGAGTCGCCTGATCACTGCCCAGCAGCAAGTCCAAGCCTGTAAATAGAGCAACACATCTCTGCACCCCACTCCACATACACTGCACACCCTCCCGCACAGCGGGGCGGCAGCGCAAGACGGCGATGTAGTACCAGATCGTTCCGGCGCTTTGACTCGCTGCTGGCAGTGTCCAATCGACGGACAGCTCACCACAACTCGACTTGCAGCAGTGAGCAGCTCCCCTCGCAGCCCAGGCCATTTCGGGCACTGCTCTGTTCCCGCAGCAGCGCTCGCCCGGATTGTGCGCGATCGGCATGCAGAGCCTGATCGCGGGCAGCCCCCTGGGGCGCGCGGCAGCAGCGCCGCGAGGCGCCGGCCCCCGCCCCGCCGCCACCCGCCTCGTCGCGCCGCCGCGGCAGCCAGCCAGGCGCGGCATCGTGGCGCGGTCCGACCTGGCTTCTACCACCTTCACCCTGCTGGAGTATGAATACGTCTGGTCTGGGGATGAGCTTGTGCAGAAGCGGGAGCCGTGGATGGCAGAGCACTTGCGGGTGCTGCGTGAGGCGGTGAGTCACGGCGGCGGCGGCGGCTGTGTGCGGTTGCGGGCGGGCGTGTGGCGGCGGTGGATGGGGCGCTTTCAGGTGGGCATGCCCAGCCGGCTGGCATCACCTCACGAGGGCATGTCGCATGCCGCCGCCGCCGCTTCAGCCACCGCCAGCTGGGCGGCGCCTCCTTGCAATGGGGCCCCGCTGCATTGCCAGCGGCGGTCCGCTGCCTGGAGCACCGCTTGCGCCCTTCACCCGCCCACCCCCCTTCGTCCCCGCCTGCGCGCTGCAGGCTGCCTCGGGCAAGCTGTGGATGTTTGGCCCGGTCAACGAGCCGATCAGCGGCGGCCTGCTGGTGTGGAAAGAAACGAGCGAGGAGGACATCAGAGCCTTCATGCAGACAGACCCCTTCTACACACAAGGCGTGGTGAAGAGCTGGTGAGGGCCTCCTCTTGGGAGCGGCGGCACAGCTGCCTGCCGCCGGCCCGCGTGTGTGCATGCGGGCGCGCGGCGCATGCGGCTGCGCTGCGCAGCCGGTGCTGCCAGCTGTCGAGGGCGCGGCCTTGAGCCGAGCGCGGCGACCGCGCGGCGCCCCTCCCCCCTCTGCCGCCGCAGGACGCTCCGCCCCTATTACGTTGTGGGCGGCGCGGGCGGCCTGTGAGTGAGCGCGAGGAGGGAGCAGGCTAGCAGCAGTACTGCGCACCACTGGCACTGGCAGCCAGCGCTGTGCGCCGATTGGGCAGGACCCATGCTGGCGGGTGCCCACCACGTGTGGTGCCCAGCACATGTGGTGCCACTTTTAACCACAAGGCAACTGACCCAACCCATTTGAGCTGAGAGGTAGCGCAGCCAGCTGCATCAGCAGTAAAGAGCGACGAAGCACCGCTGCCGCGTGTCACGGCGCCGCGGCGCGCCCGCTGCTGCCGCCGCCCGCCCCGCCGACGCGGGCGCCGCCCTTGACGCGCCGGTGCCGCTTCAGCGGCTCCGCTACGGGGCCGCTGCGCCCGCGCTTGCGCAGCAGCTTGCCCAGGCAGTTGAGCAGGCAGGAGTCTATCTTGCAGGGGGAGTCTGCGGGGGAGCAGGGGGCGCGGGGCGGGCAGGGTGCGGCAAACTCAGCCAAGCTTACGAGCGGAGGGGAGGCGCGGCAGTCTCGTTTGCCTCTCCTGCTCCCTTCCTTGCAGTGACAGTCCCTGCGGGCGCCCCTAAAAACCCTTAAGCCCCACCCACCGGATGTGCCGCTGCTGAGCCTGCTGAGGGGAGAGCTGCTGGTCCCGGAATCGCGGTTGAGCAGCGGCTGCCCCACAGCCACCGTCAGCGTGGGCAGCCAGCCGTCGCCGCCTGCATTGGGCGTCACACGCGGGCGGCGGCGGCGGCGCGTTGCGTGGGCTGCTGCCAGGCTGCCAGGCAGCGCCGCAGGCGGGGCTGCCAGCAGAGGCTGCCTGCCTGCTGGGCGGCGGCATGCCTCTGCGCAGCACACACACACACACAGGCCGGCCGGCTTCGGGCACCACCCTGTCCCTGTCGCTGCTTCAGGGAGCAGCGCCCGCCCACCTGCATCCGCCGCCGCCCGCAGCAGCGCCGCCATCTCCCCTTCCCCATGCAGCATCAGGGCCAGGTCTAGCGCCGTCTGGCCGTCGTGAGTCGCCGCCGCGGGGTCCGCTCCTGCTGCCAGCAGTGCCGCCGCGCACCCCGCGTGCCCGTTCTGCAGAGAGAGGGCAGCACGCAGGCCGGGGGGAGCTCGCAGCTCTCGCAGCAGCATGGACAGCGGTCGCTGCTGCATTGCATTCAGGTTCGCAGGCTCTGTTGCATTCATCATTGCATGGCTGAAGCGCCCACCGGGAGAAGGCAAGCAGGGTGTGTCGCCCCCACCACCACCACCGCCACACACACACACAGGCGTACACACAGCTGCACACACACACACACACGCCTCACTGCGCACATTCCCTCCACCCCCACCCCACCCCCACCCCTTACCTCTGCCGCCATGTGCAGCGGCGTCCAGCCGCTCATCACCCGCAGCCCCGGGTCCGCCCCGGCCGCCAGCAGCGCGGCCAGCACGTCGCAGTGGCCGTGGCGGGCGGCCAGGTGAAGCGGCGCGCGCCCGTCCTTCATCACAGCATCCACGTTGGCCCCCGCCGCCAGAAGCGCCTCCACACATGCGATGTGCGCATCTGGGGCAGAGGCGGGGTGGGCAGGCGGCGGGCCGGGGTGGGGGGGGCAGGTAGCAGGCTGAGGTGGGCAGGCAGCAGGCCGGCAGGGCAGCGGCCGGGGCCGCGGCAGGGTGGGGTGGCGGCAGGCCGGCGGCAGCGACACCGTGCAGGCGGGAGCGGCGGCGCACGCCAGCTGGCCCGGCCGTGCCACCATGCCCCCACCACCCGCCGTTCCTCACACACGCACGCACGCACGCACGCGCGCACACACACACACACACACACACACACACACACACACACACACACTGATCGCCCGCCACCGGCCCCCTGGGCCCCCAGCTCACATGCGGCGGCCAGGTGCAGCGGCGTCTTGAAGAAGGAGTCCGCGGGGCTGGCCTCCGCCCCCGCCCGCTGCAGCACCACCAGGCAGTTTGCGTTGCCGTTTTGTGCCGCCAGGTGCGCCGGCGTCCACCCGTCAGCGCGGCGGTGGTTGGGGTCTGCCCCGGGCGCCGCCACCAGCACCGCCACCGCGTCGGCGTGCCCGTTCTGTGCTGCCAGGTGCAGCGGCGTGGCGCCGTCCCGCAGCAGGCCGTCCCGCAGCATGGCCGAGGGGCTGGCGCCGGCTGCCAGCAGCGCCTGCACGCACGCCGTGTGCCCGTTTTTTGCGGCCAGGTGCAGCGGGCGGCGGGAGTCCTTGTTGGGCACCTCTAGGCCGGCCCTGCCGCCGGGGGCCGCCAGCAGGGCCGCCACGCAGGCGGCGTGCCCCTCTGCCGCCGCCTTGTGCACAGCAAGCTCGCCCCACATGCTGTCCGCTGCCGCGGGGCTGCTCCCCGCCTCCAGCAGCACCCGAAGCGCCGCCTCCTGCCCCGCCTTGGCTGCCAGGTGCAGCGGCTGGCGGCCCCAGATGTCGGCGATGCCCGGTGGGGCGCCCGCAGCCAGCAGCCGCGACAGCTGCTCCAGAGCGCCCAGCTGCGCGGCGCGGTGCAGCGGCGTGAGGCCATCCAGCCCCAGCTCTGTGCATAAACTTGCGGCTCCCTGCAGGCAGGAAAAAAGCACTGGGAAGAGGGTGCGAGGCGCAGAGTGGTTGTGGCTGGAGCGGCGTGGCGGCAGCTAGGGCACCGCCGCCGTTGCCGCCGCCGGGCGTGCCGCATTCGCGGAGGGAGTTGAGCGCACGTGCTTGGAGTCCTCCGCGTCGCTGGAGATCTCGAGGGCCAGCAATCCTCGCTCCGCGGACGCATACGACGACATGCGAAAAGCCCCTGACCTAGCGACGCTTGCAAGCCAAGGCGCACGCTTGGCTGGCTGCGGAACCGGCAGGCGGGCATGTGGTTCAGGGCTGCCGCATTTTGCGCTGCCGTGTAGGGTCCAAGCAGCTGGGGGCGGGAGCGGCGCCCAGGTGGCGCCCGGCTGGCAGGAACCGCCCTCCGGCACGCTGAAGGCGCCTGGTGCTGTCTATCGCCAGATGCTGGATCTGCATGCATCCAAGCCGCAGCGGTGGAGTCCATGAGCCTCGCGGCAGCATGCCTCTGTGCCTGAGCCACACCCACCGCTGGCGCCTTTTCCCACCCGCCGGCGCCCTGGCGGCCAGCGAGGCCCGCCTCGCAGAGAATGGTTGTCCGGCTTGCGTACTTTGCATGGAGTCAAAAAGACGCCAGAAGCGGCAGTGCAGGCTATGCGGGGCAAGGCAGGCGCAGCAGGCTGGGCAGGAGCTGGCAGCGCCCGCCTGTTGCCGCTCCCTTAGAAATGGGTGACCCAGGGGGAGGTCACGCCGGCTGCTGCCCACCTTGCTGCTCCTGCTGCTCCCGCTGCGCCTCTCGCCCCTGCTGCTGCTGCTCCTCCTCACCCGCCAGCCCTCGCAGCAGCCGCACACAGCCCGCCCGCCGCCACTCCTCTGCCTCCCGCAGCGGCGTCCAGTCGCGGCCGGCGCAGGCGGCCGCCAGGTCAGCGCCTCCCCGCCGCAGCGCGCCCAGCGCCTCAGCGTGGCCCCAGCGTGCCGCCAGGTGGGCGGGCGCCAGCTGGCGGGGGCACCGCGACCGCTGGTTGGGGTCTGCAGTGCAGGCGGGGCCAGGAAGCCAGCAGCGGTGCAAGGCCGCAGCGGGCTCAGCCACAGCAGCACAAGGCCTGCTGCCGACCGCCACCCTCCATGCACCTGTGCCCTGCCGCTCACACCGCTACCCCTTGGTTGCCAGCAGCAGCAGCCTGGCGCCTCCAGCCCCACCTGCGCCGGCAGCCAGCAGCAGCTGCACCACAGCCGCCATGCCCCACTGGGCCGCCAGGTGGAGGGCGGTGAGGCCAGAGGCGTCGGTCAGCGCCAGGTGGCACTGCAGGGCGCTGCCGGCAGCTCGGCCGGTTCCTGCGCCGCCGCTTTCAATAGCACCATCACTGCTGCTGCTGCTGCCGCTGCTGCCGCTGCTGCTGCTGTTGGCTCTGCTGCCGGCGAGGTGCTCCAGCAGGAGCGACACCGCGCCCGCGTGCCCAAACTGGGCGGCAAACATGAGGGGCGTCTGCCCGCCGCCTGCCGCGGGTGACGAGCCGTCCGCCGCGCCCGCAGCGCCGCGCCCTGGCTCTGCCTCCGCTGCCGCCGCCCGCGGAGCTGCGGCGGCCGCGGCGGCGGCGGCGGCGGGCGCGGAGGCCTGCCAGCAGTCGGCGCCGTCAGCTAGCAGCAGGCGCATGGCGGCGAGGTGGTTGCGGGCCGCGGCGCGGTGCAGGGGCGCCGTGCCGCTGCGGTCTGCTGCCGCCGAGGGGTCGGCTCCTAGCTGCAGCAGTGCAGCCACCGCCCCATCCTTGCCGTAGCCTGGGGAAGGGGTTGGGAGGGTGGTGCAGCAGGGTGAGGGAAGGTGGGCTTTCTGTAAATCAAGCACGAGGCAGTCATGAGAGGCTCCACACATGGAGCCAGCATGCCAGACCCGGCCCCACCTGCCGCAAACTGCAGCGCCGTCTGGCCCTTGCGGTCCCGGGCATCCACATCGCCGCCGGCCGCAGCATACTCGGCGATGGCGACGGCGTCTCCCAGCCATGCCGCCCTGCGTCGGCGGGGGGCAGCCCCGCGGGCGCGGCGGCTGAGCCGATGCAGCTATACAAGGCCAGCGGGGCCGCGCGGGCGGCAGGCGGCGAGGGGACGCACAAGACGCGGCGGGGGGCAGGGCCTGCAGCAGCGCAAGGGCCGGCATGGCACTCTCCGCCGCGGGGCGCCGCCACGCGGGCCGCTCGCCTCACCTCCACACATCGATGGCGGCGCCGGCGGCAGCGGCGCGGACCTGGCGGTACGCAACGCCTCGCAGCTGCACGGCGGCTGCCGAAGGCCGCTCCTGCTGGCCCGCCTGCTGCGCCTGCTGCCGGTCATCCTGAAGCTGCTGCATCCCACTCTCCCGCGCCCCCCCACTACTGGGATGCTCGCTGGCAGGCAAGTTGTGGACCGGCCGGCTGGCCGCCGCGGCCCGCAGCGCCTGCAAAAGCGCCGCCTGCCTGGCACTACCGCTGCTGCTGCTGCCGCTGCCGCTGCTATTGGCGCAGCTGCTGCCAGTGGTACCATCGCTGGTACCATCGCTGGTACCATCACTGGCGCCGCTGCCGGGCTCCCGTTGGAAGACAGCCACCGCTCTGGGGTAGCCCGCCTGGCGGGTCTCTGGCAGCCAGTGCAGGAGGCGCAGGGGCGGCTGCTGCCGAAGGCCCCACTCCTCCAGCTTCTGCTGCTGCTGCTGGTGCTGCTGCGGGGAGGTGACTCCCTGCTGCTTCTGATTCTGCTGCTGTGAAGGGCTGCCTCCCCGCTGCTGCTGCCCCTCTGAAGCATGCGAGCAGCTGGCGCCGCCGGCCGCCACAAGGGGCATCCAAGCCAGCAGGCGGCCGCCGGGCACCAGCGTGTGCGCCGCCAGCTGCAGCAGCGCACCCAGCAGCTGCCGCCAGCCGCCTGCACCGCCAGCTGCCTCCTCGGCTTCTGCTGCTGCTGCTCCCGCTGCGCTGCCTGCGCCTGCTGCTGTGCCGACTGCGCTGCCTGCGGCTGCCGATGTGTCCGCTGCATTGCCTGCCCCGCCGGCCTCCACGGTGGTGCGGTAGCCATAGGGAAGGTCGGTGATGATGGCATCCAGTACTGCCGGGGGAAGCAGGTATCGCAGGGAAGCTGCGTCGGCCTGCATGAACACAGGCAATCTGCCGCCGGGGCAGCCGCTGGGGCTGCTGCTGGGGTTGGTGTCTGTGGTGCAGCGCTGGCTGGGGTGGCGTGCAAAGTGGGTGGGGTCGATGTCGGATCCCACAGCCAGCCCCGCCCCGTGCAGCTGCAGGGCAGCTTCCAGCAGGCTGCCAGTACCGCAGAAAGGGTCCAGCACCAGCGCGCCAGGGTGGACGGCTGCCAGGCTGGCGCTGACGGCCGCCAGCTCAGGAGCCATGGCGGTAGGGCCCAGCCGCCGGGCAGCTTCCCCAGCACCGGCAGGCAGCGGCGCCCCAGCCACCAGCTCCAGGCCAATGAGCACCTCTGGCTGCTGCTGCTGCTGCTCCTGGATGCACCAGAGGGCTGGCAGCCCCGCCTGCGGGCTGCATCCCAGCCCCAGCTGCTGCAGGCGGCGGCGCAGGAAGCGCTCGGCTGGCGCCCTGGCCGCGCCGCCTCCCCAGCTGAGCACTCTGAGCGGGTGCTGCGCTGCGGAGCCGCCTGCGGCTTGCAGCGCCTGGGCGGCGGCCGCCGCGGCAGCTTCGAGCGTCGGCGCCGCCGCCAGCGGCTGGAGGGCGGCTGTTAGGAGCGTGCACCTCTGCGCCGCCTCCAGCAGCAGCGGCAGGTCGAGGCCTGCAGCGCTGGGCTGCTGGGAGGCAGGGCATGTGCAGCCAGCTTCCGCCAGCAACAGGTCTCCGGCGTTCACGGCGAGCGGCAGCGGCGGGGCGGCCGCCACGGTGCCGCCGCAGCGCCGCAGCGCAGCCTGCCGGTACTGTTCTTGCAGCTCGGGCACACAGAAGGCGCGGAGCTCCCGGATGAGACGGCTGGGAGCCCACAGCAGCAACACGGGGCCCCGACTCGCCGCCATGTCCAGCGACATGGGCGGGAGTCGATGAAACTAGACTCTAACCGATCATGGGGACACGATGCGATGCGTTGGGAGGCCTGAAACGCTCGCATTTCGAAGCCGTGCTAAGCCTGCTGCCGGCACAGGGCGCGCACAGACAAAAACAGCCGCCCTACAGCGTGTGACAATATGAATCGTGAGCGCCGAACATCGCAGGCACGTCTGAAATTCGCCAGCAAGTGAATGGACTCGCCGGCCGGCCATGCGGCGGCGTTCGCGGCGGGTGCTGCGCTGGGGGCGGCGGCGCTGTACCTGTACACCCGGCACGAGTGGTCACAGCAGACAGCGGCGCCGCCGGCAGCAGGCGACGGCACCCAACAAGCGGCGGCCGCCGTCCCTTCCGCTGCCGCCAGCAGCCCGCCTGCCAACGGCAGCCAGTTTAGCATGGCAGAGTTTGAGCAGGACGAAGTCCTGGAGGAACAGCTCACCCGCAACGTGCAATTCTTCGGTCTACCTGCCCAGAAGCGCATCGGCGGTAGCTTTGTGGTGGTGGTCGGCCTGGGGGTGAGCTGGCGGCAGTGGCGGCAGCCGCTCCTTGCAGCGCCGAGTGCTCCTGCAGTGGCTGCTCTTGAGCTGCCTGGTCTTGGCGCGTCTGGCAGCGGGAGCTACTGGCTTTGTGGCACATCAGCCACATGCCACGCGGGCCCAGGCTGTCCCAATGCCGCTGCTGCCGCTGCTGCCGCGTGCTGCAGGGCGTGGGCTCGCATGCGGCGCACCTGCTGCTGCGGTCGGGAGTGGGGCGCCTGCGCCTGATCGATTTCGACCAGGTGGGTGCTGCATCCTGCTGTGTTTAGGGTTTAGGTTACCCTAAACCCTACAAAATCCGGTGGGTGCTGCATCCCGGCGCCTGGCCGGCTGGCTGGCCAGAGGCAGGCGCCAGGCCGGCTGTCGGCAGCGCAGCCCTCCCACCACAGCCACGTCGATGCGGCAGTTGAGCCCCACGCCTTCCCTGCTGCTGCTCCTCCCCATCACCGCCAAACCCACGCTCCCGCGGCGCAGGTCACCCTGTCCTCCCTCAACCGCCACTGCCTGGCCACCAGGGCCGACGTGGGGCTGCCCAAGGCCGCCTGCCTGGCCCGACACTTCCGAGGCGCGCCCATGCCCTGGCTGCCGCTGCTGCGCTTGGGTGCCCCAGGGGCGCCTTGCTGCTGCCCCTGGCGGCGGCGCCGAGCGTGCTGCAGCAGGCGGCACCCCCTGGCTCGCCCCACGCCTCCCTTTCTTCCCCCTGCCTCACGCCTCTCCCCCTGCCCCCTGCCTCCCCTCCCCCTCCACGCCCCACGCCCACAGACATCCTCCCCGAGGCGGCTGTGGAGGCGCGCGTGGAGATGTACACGCAGGAAGGGGAAGAGGCACTGCTGGCGGGGGCGCCCGACTTTGTGCTGGATGCAATCGACAACATCGACACCAAGGTGGGTGGGCGGGTGGGTGGCTGGGTGAGGGTGCAGGGGGCTGCGCCTGCTGCAGGCCGTTCCACGTTGAGGAAATGGGGCGATGGCAGCGCCTCGTGCTATGGGTGGCTCGCCCGCGGCTTCCTTGCGCAGCTGCTGTGTTTCATGGAGCCATGCTCATGAGCCCAACAACCTGCCGGCTTCCTGAGAAGCTTCTCAGGAATGCGCCTGTGCTGCTCTTGAACAGCCCACCGGCCCAGCCAGCCACGCCTCAAGCCACCTGCCCCCAAACCTGCTCGCCCGCGCCCGCAGGTGGCGCTGCTGGCCGCCTGCCGGCGGCGCGGCATCCCGGTGCTGTGCTGCGCGGGGGCGGGCGCCAAGGCCGACCCCACCCGCCTGCGCCTGGTGGATGTGTCGGAGGCGGCGGCGGACCCGCTGGCGCGCGCTGTGCGGCGCCGGTGAGGGAGGGTGCCTGGGTGGAGGGGTGGTGGTTGAGGTGGTGGTGGTGGCGGGACTGGTGGCCTGGCAGGCAGCGGTCTTACTTGCCATGCAAACGCTTGCAATAGAGGGACCTTCCTCCTCCCTTCCCTCGCCGCACACGACGCGCTCGCCCGCGAGTGCGCAGCCGCCCCCGCTGCCGCCCGACACACACACCTCACGAGCTCCGCCATCCCTCCCCGCCCCCGTGCAGCCTGCGGGGCGACCACGGCATCGAGGAGGGGCTGCCTATCTTGCTATCTACAGAGCGGCCGCGGTGTGGGCTGGTGTACGGCGGCGGTGAGGGCAGCAACCCGCTGGACTACCAGGTGCCACATGTGCCGCTTCGTGTACCGCCGTACTGCTGTACTGCTGCACTGTGTGCTCTTGCTGCTGGCCTGTGCCGCTGCGCTGCCTCGTGCTGCCCGGTGCCCAGCGCCGAGGAGCTGGCCTGCGCCTTTGCCTGCGCTCCTGTCGCCCAAATGTACCTGTACCGAGGCGGTACCGTTCCTCGTCGGTACCGCCCAGGTGGTCCCCAACTTCCGCATCCGCACCATCCCCGTGCTGGGCACCACCCCCGCCATCTTTGGGCTGGCCGCCGCCGCCTACGTGCTGTGCCAGCTGGCGGGGCAGCCGTTTGTCTCGGAGCCGCACTTCCGGGTGCAGGTGGACCGACGCTGCTGCTGTTGTGTGCCGTGTGTGTGTGCGTGAGGGAGAGGAAGCGTGTCGCTGTGTGTGTGTGTGCGCTCATGCGGTGAGGAGTGGGTCGGCGTCCGGCCCCCGCCAGCCTGCATGCTCGCCCTCCCCCGCCACGCTGCCACAGGCCCCGTTGTGCTGCCTGCTGCCCGCTGCATTGGCCCCTTGCAACTGCCCCTGCTTGCGCTGCTCTCCTGCGCCGCACTGCAGCCCAAGCAGTATGCCGGTATCTTCCAGGCGCTGTACGAGCGGGAGGAGCTACGGTACGGTACCGCAGAGGGGATTGGGGTGGACGCAGAGGTGGGCGCTGGGTGGTGGAGGTGGCGTGGCGGGTGCTGCTGCTGCTGCTGCTTCCGCACCTGCTGCCCGACCGCTGTGATGCATCGGCCGCCACCCTTTGCCCACTTGCCACTGCCCGTACAGCACACCCACACGCCTTACACACAAGCATGCCCATGCGACCACCCACCCCCTGCGGACCCGCAGGAGGTTGAGGTGCTCGTGAAGGAGCTGTGGCGCGGGCGCAGCGCGCGCGCCCCGCATCCGCCGCCGCACGACAGGGGCGTCACCCGGTCTGTGGGCCACCTCACGCTGACGCGCTGGGTGCGTGGGTTGTGTGCTGTGCCCCGCAAGAACCTGCCTGGCCCGGCCCTGCACTCTTGGCCTTTGCGCTGCTGGCTGGGATTGGCATGGAGCGGGCCGGGGGCCGCCGCCACTGCCCGGCCCCGGGGGGAGAGAGAGACGGCCGCCAGTGGATGCAGTGTGCACAACACTCGATCCGCACCATACACACAGAGACACACGCACACCGCCACACACACACATGCACACACATACACACACAGAATCAACCCCACACCCCACCCCACACTCCCCTGCAGGACCCGGCGCGCCCTGCATCCATTGACAACCTGGTGCTGCTGACCCATGCCGAGGCAGACAGCCACGAGCAGCTGGGCAGCCTCGAGGCGCTGCGGCGCCAGGTGGGCCACAGGCTGGGCTGGGCTGGGCGCCGGCCTGTGGGTGCGGGTGCGGGCGTGGGCATGGCCGGGCCCGCTGCAATGTAATGGCTTTTTTGTCCTGCTCTGCCGGGAGGGAGCTCAGCCTGTCTGCTGACCTTCCTTTCTGCACCCCCAAGCAGTTTCCCATTCCCCATTTTACACACAAACAATTTTACACACACACCACGCGCGCCTGCCCTCCCTTCCCGTGCGCCGCCGCCTGGCAGGAGCCGGAGCTGTGCCGGCGGGTGGAGGCGGTGCTGGAGCGGGCGCGGCTTGAGTTCCGGTGGAGAGCCTGAGGCGGCGTCTGAGGCTGTCAGCGGCAGCAAAACGTTCTCAAACCTCAGTTGACTAAGTTGAGGGCTGGGGGAGGCGGGCGAGGCAAGGGCCAGGGTGCTTGTGGCCAGAGGCGGGTGGCCCGCTGGGCAGCTGGCGAGCAGCTGCTGTCGCCGCGCCAGCTCTGACATTTTATGGGTGGGATCATTAATCCTATCGAGCCTGTCTTCTTGGTCTTGGGTTACAAGCAATGCAGTGCGGTGCGCTGATCCCAGCCATGCCCAATAAATTGGCAACGCATGTGAAGCCAGGGGAAGAAAGGAGGGAGGGGCGCCAGCTGAACACAAGGCAGGGCGCCGCCTGGGCCAGCTGAGCGGCGCCACAAGTTTT